TCTTCCTTAACTGAAGGGTTTCTTCTGATTGTACCTTTCCGTTCCCTCATTATTACTACACTACCTTACACCAATCTCTGCGTTATTGTTCTTTTTTACTCTCCTTACCTTTTTTTCTCTTCGAATTCTCATTGTTTTGTAAGGCGTATATATATTTGGCGCTCTCTTGTACCAATATTTATGTGTTCAAATAAATAAATAAATATTGTGGACTGGTCGAGTCCCGCATGCAGGATTATGGATGCCAACTGGTGAGGAATCCCATACTATGACGTAAAGGCCGTTCGGTGCTTCCGCTTTTTAAATGGTGGTTTAACATTGATCGGTTCATGATTTCAATGAAATTCGGCAATCTCCATAACCTCATACTAGGAAATACTGTATTTAGTCATAAGTAAATTATCATTCATGCTATTCGGAAATCGCCCACAACCTCAAATTTGTTTGACGTTGATGTCCTATCTTTACTCAGTCACTGATCTGTTAGAGTTGTGATTTACTTACAGGCGTAATTCTTACCCGTATTTACTCATTATCCCGTATCTTCCATCAAATTCTATTTTGTTTTACAAAGTGATTGTATTTATCAGTTACTTCGGCAATATAAATTTACGTTTCTGAAAAAATGATATTTTGAAGATACTACAATGATGGGCTTGTAAAGATGTTCTTCATTGCTGTTGACGAGGCAGCTGAATTTTGGAGACTTTAAGGTATGTCCTGAGTATCAGAGAAGATCGAACTCGTACACTTCTACAAATGAAAAACATTTTCAAGGAGTTAGTAATATTTTTTAAATTTCACCAACGACGTTTTTGTGATCACGATACTTTATTAGGTAGGCGGAATAATATTTCAACCGTAGATAAAAACAAATATTTGTCCAAGAACCTGCAGAGACATTGAGAAGAATTATGTTTCAATGTAAAAGCCCAAAACTGCTCTTGGATCATTTATAGGGTTTACTGAATTCATCCCGTGAAAAAAAACCTTGGTAAGAAAAGCTAACCAGAAGAATCGTCAAAATCGCTTAAACTCCAACTAGGGAGTCGAAGAAACGACATAGAGGGGAGTTATGGCGCATCATGATAAAAATAGAGATTCTTTAGGAGTCAGTAAGTGGATTTCCTTTCTGAAAGCTAGAGCAACAACAAATATAAGTACAAAGGACATTCAGACAATTTTGAACGTGCCAATGATATTCTCTCGACAATTACGTCAGAAACGACGATAAATATTAATTTATTGCGGTTCCAGTCCATCTTAGAGAAATGCCAAAGGAAAGACCTGACCATCCCAATGAAGTCAAAGTCACCTCACTTTCACCGGACAACACCACAGAAAACCAGATCGATCATATCTGCATTGATAACAGGTTTTGAAGGTCCATAGAAGACGTAAGAATAAGGTGAGGAGCTGAGGTAGTTTCCGATCACCATTTGATGATGGCCGAACTAGAACTGAGGTTAAAAAACCTACAGACAGCTGGACAAACAGCATTATAAAAGTTTGATACAAGCTCCCTTTTTGGGTAGTAGCGAGCTCAGGGGATTAAAGACAGCTCTCATCAGTAAGTTTCAGGCCTTACGAGATCCAGTAGAAGAAAAGGAAAACACTACAGTTAACAATTAGAAAGAGATTAAAGGGGCAATAACTTCGACAAGCCAGGTTCTGGGCCATAGAAACACCAGTACAATTAGTGGATCTCTGCAGACAGTTTATACAAGGTTCAAGAATGAGAGAACATGAAGACAACATTCAACAATAGGCGAATAAGAGAGAGAGCCAAGGCACGGGCCGAATGCACAGAAGCAAACAAGCAAATAGACATAAGGATTAGAGCTGATTGGCGGAAATACGTGGAAGACCTATTAATGATAGCAGAAAAAGCTACAAGAGGAGGAAATATAAAACAACTATATGATACAACAAAGAAGTCAGCAGGGAAATAAGGTAATGCAGAGGGATCAGTGAAAGACAGGTAAGGCAAACCAATAGCTGAGATTCAAGAGCAACAAAACGGGTAAGCAGAACCTTTTGAAAAGCTCTTGAATAAACCAACCCCAATGAACCTACTCAATATCGAAGCAGCACCTACAAACCTTCCTATAAATGTCAATCTACCAAGAATAAAAGAAGTCAGCAGCCCCATCGGACAAATTAAGAGTGGCAAACCAGAAGTTGGATCAAACAGCATAGCAGCAGAATCGCTCAAATCAGGTAACTGAAGAAATGCTCCATGTTCTCTTCATAAACCTTTGGGAAAAAGGAGTACAAACAGATTTGAAGGAGGGATATATTGCCAAGAGACTAAAGAAACGGGAAATTATTAAGTGAGGGAACCACAGAAACATCGTACTACTATTAGTATCAGACGAAGTTTTCGAGTGTTGTTGAACTGAACGGAAGTTTCAGAAGGCGCTCGGCTTCGAGAACAAATTGTTGACTTTTTTAAGGATCGATCATGTATCTACCGATTCGTGGTATTACGGATTATTGTTGAGCTATCGGTTGAATGGAGCTCATCGCTATACATCGACGAATTCGATTATGTAAATGCATTCGACAGCGTAAAGAGGAGAACCTTATCGAGTCTACTTTGACACTATGAAGTACCTGAAATCATCGTTATACGAAATTCTTATGAGGGACTACACTGTAAAGTTGATGGGAGTTCGACCTATTTATCTAAAGGTAAGAATGAATATAATTGTAATAATCGCTTTCTAAACTAAGTCATGTATCAAATAAAGCATGTACATTATAGGTGAAGGATTGTATTTATCAAATCGAAATATTAATATCACGAACTATAAAATGTCAAATCAACTTTAAAATGCTTATTAGTGAAGAATGTTTGATTCGGTTATATCTTGAAACAGTACTGACTTATCGAGGCTGTGACTTGAAAGTAAGTGCTTATAATTATTACTACTGATGCGGTTGTCTGCTAAACTGTGAAATACTGCCAATGACTGCGATGGAACGAGACTGCTTTGAAGACCAAGGGAAAGAAATAAGACTGTAGGGACAGACTGATTTATTCACCAACCACTAATTAAAACAACATTTGGAATAATGATAATAAATTACACATCATTTTTAATGTTTGGCCAATTAATAATTTTGAACTAGCAGCTAATCAATAATCTACTCTATAGAATTTGCAAAATTAATAGACTAACTGACTCAACTAAGGAATACTATTCATCACTGGATTGTCTTGGCTTTATTGATAACAGATTCATTCACTAATATCATTTCATTTTAAAATTGTGCTACGTAAAAATTGTGCAAAACTAGTGTTCTATTCGAATGAGGAATAAACGAACGGTAACTGCTAGGATCTATTTATAGACTAGTATTGTATATATTCTCATTGGATAACTATCAAGTAACTATATTATATGTATATTCATATTCCTCTTATTATAAGTTTCCATTTGACGAATTGACACTATTATACGATTTACTATTATTAAGTTATTCCCAATCTATTAGTTACAGTATCTCACTATCACAGCCACTTTTTGGCTTGATCTTGTATAATTGTTATTCTTTATCTTACGACATGATGTGGGCTGGTTTGCTTGTATAGAAACCAAGTATGTCTGAAATAAATGATCCGCAAAGTGGAAGCTGATATTAGTGTTCTGGCCTCAGTTGTAAGTACTAGGAAAGAAGGACCAATCAGGACTCAGAGTTGACGCAAGGCTGCTCGTACTGGTTTGTGCGTCATTGGTCTAGTCACATAAGTTGATGTTCTGATTGGCGAATAAATCATGTGATAATTAACAAAGCCATAGGTCATGGCATAAAGTTCAGACAATCATTCCGAATCACACTGTGTACTCTTATTTAACCGCAGCTATAAACATGAAATACTACATTTTTAAGGACTGTCTTATATACTTATCTTTAAAAAGGAAATTTATTACTGATCAAATAAAAGTAGCAACACAATCAACAAGACGGTAAATATGGCATATAAATGCGAAGATACTAAATAAATAACCTGAAAAAAACAAACAAGTTGTATAGAATAGTACTTGTGTGTGAATAAAATACATGTTAATGTAACCTAATGTTAAAATTGATGGTTCTCGTGGATTGTAGAAAATATTTATACATATGTCGATCTTTATTGAAATTACATATATAAATACATAATACTGATCAGATTTCACTATGAAAGACTGATAATATTAACAATAATTATAAGATAAATTAGCAATTATAAGAGGGAATAAATAGAATGACTAGACTAACGGAGCGCTCTGAGAAGAGTGGGTTCTGAGCTGATGATCGATTAATTGGTACTCGAATATTTATATGAATAGACTAAAGGATGGATCTCCAGAAAAACAACATCTTCAGAGATAACGAAGATATCAACACAATTATTTTAAATGACAAAAAAGAAAATTAAACAGTTTAAAAGTTATTTTATATTACACATCCACATCTTATAAGCAAGGGAAAAAAGTAGGAAATGAGAGTCCACATAGTACGATTAGTTTGTCATGTAAAATAGTAAAACAACATAGAAAAAACCCTATTTGTAGTTGAAGTTTAAAAAAATAATTAAAACCGAGATTTCATACATTTTAGATAAATTGTTTACAACTTAAACCAACTGTGTGTATATACAGACAGTATTACGTGAGCCTTACTACAACTAATTCACAACAAAAAAAGGAGTGACATATATAACACAACACAATAATGTCAAGTAAGTAGGTGAAATGCAACGAAATCACAACTACACATGATTAGGAAAAAATACCAACATTGGAATCAAAAAGAAAACAACATGACTAACAATTTTACGATTGACCAAACAAATAAACAACAACGAAAGACAACAAGAAATAAAATTTCCAACACTTTATTTGTGTTCAGGTAATAATTAAAACGGATATCTAGTACTTTAATGAAGAAAATTCAAAATAAATATCCTGAAACATTACTGATTTGGTTTTTAACGGCTGTACACACGTTTACAACTGTACAGGGAATACTATAGGTTGGTGGTTTGATGGTCCAGTATCACTAGAAATAGTTGTTACAGCAGATATTAGAAATCGACTAAAAGGTTGTTCGTGAGCATCATAAGTTAATTGGGGTAAATTAAGCAAAGCACCAGAACGTGAACTAGCTGATGTATGTGAACCAATCGAAATAGTATGATTAGGATCAATTGACTTATGTTTTAGATGATGGTGATGTTGAAGACGAGAGGATGTTTTTGAACGTCTAGAACTTTTCTTAAATAAATCATAAGTAGACTGTTGATGAGGATTTCTCTGTAGATATGCTTCAGTGTCGTCATGATGAGACTTTATTTCTCTAAGAAAATAGTGATGAGATTTTCGATCACATGAACTACCGCTACCGGTAGTAGTAACTGAACTATGACCAAGATTCTCTACTTGAAATAAACTGGAATTTTGTGGAGATAAAGGTCTGTACATGTTACCCGAATAAAGGATACCGCCATTCAAGCTAAGGTCACCGCCATGTGATATAGATTCTATAGGCGTATTAGTATGTAATACTGATTCTACTCCATCTAACTGTTGATTACATATTCCGATACCACTTCCATTCCCTGAAGTGTTATAACCCATTGTAGGAACTGATTGATCACGTCCTGACTTTACAGATTCACGTAAACCACCGCTAGTTGTTCCAGTTCGACTGCTACTTGCTGTTACGATGCTGGCAGGGGGAACATTAAATGCCCCATGGGGTGGTGGTGTATAATACAATGGATCTAAGGGTCAGTGAGAGAAGGAATAAGTAGAAATATCCGATTTTAAAGTAAGATAATTACATAACTGACTGACCAAAATAATGTAGAACTTGGAAAAATAGCACATTAGTTCAAACTGTCTCACTTTCTAAAACGAGTGGTGGTTTATACTATGAGTTTCGCTACGCTAAATGTTACCATTACCTGGCAGAAGATAAAAAAATTGTTACGTAAATTGGAATAATAATTTCCAAGTTGTTTATTCAGTATATAGTTCATGCTGTTTCACGCAACTGTATACTTTTCGAATCATCCTTTACTATTCCAAGTCAGTCTCATTTGTTACGTAAGCCCAATTATCGCCTACCTGGACGAACAATGTTGTCTATTGTAGGAATATATTGAAAGCTAGGGGCGGCAAAACTAGGATGCGGCACAAGCCCATGAATTCACTGACAACTGGACTGAACCATGCAAATAAATTTAAACCAACTCAGTTGGTCTACGTCTATTGGCATGGCCTTTTGGCAGCACTGAGCAACAATACCAGGATGTTTGGAATGCGTTTCTCCTCCTCTAAATTCAAGTCGTTGCCTGTGTCAACACCTAAACTAAGGATAGGGAGTGAAGTAGTCGAACGCGTTGACAACTTCACTTATCTTGGAAGTCTGATCAGCCCTAATGGGTTAATGTCTGACAAAATCTCTACACGAATTCAAAAAGCTCGTTTGGCTTTTACCAACTTACGTCACCTATGGCGAAGGCAAGATATCCGTCTATCAATGAAAGGACCAGTGTATTGTGTAGTAATTCGTTCTATTCTACTTTACGGCTGCGAAACGTGATCATTAAGAGTAGAAGATACTCGTAAGTTACTAGTATTTGATCACAGATGTCTTAGGAATATTGCCAGGATCTTCTGGGATTACCTGGTAAGTAGTAGTGAGGTAAGACGCAGGGTATTAGGAAATGATGGCAAATCAATTAATGAGGTTGTAAATCTTCATCGACTGAGATAGTCGGGTCACTAGTTTTGGAGATGGATGGAAGAAAGTTAGGGGCGGTCAAACCAAAACGTGGCATCAGTGCTTGAAGTCACTAACTTCTGGTAAGAGCCAGGTTGGTAGATGCGGACTACTTGGTTGAGGCCCGCGCGACTATCGTAACCAATGGTTGGAGACTCTGGGTGACATGACTCAGAATCGATCACAATGGCATAAGTGTATACACTCTTTGCCTTCTCTTAAACTGTGAGATTAAAATTGCTTTGTACCTTTTTTTTCTACGAAGTAATTCTTTCTTCCTGCATTATATCCTTATACACAATCTTTCTTCTATATATTACTACCATTAAAGTAACTACTTATATGAATTTGGTGTTCAACTTGTTGTGTTAATAAGATGTGGCAACTCAGACCGATGTATATGTGCCTGGTCCCACGTTGTAGCTGACTAACTGATATAGACTAACTAGTTAGGGTTCGCGTGATTATCGCATGGCTTATAGCCGTTCACAATGGTCGAGGTACATTCACACCTTGTCTTCCCCGAGTCCCGAAATCCCCTTATGCCATTTTTTTCTCATTTCTATATTTAATCTTTTTTTCTGCTACTAACTACTAACTACTAACTACTAACTACTAACTACTAACTACTAACTACTAACTACTACTACTACTACTACTACTACTACTACTGATACTGGTACTACTTCCAGTACTCTGGTATATGTCTTGAAATGTTTTTATCTCCGTGTCAATGTAGTATAGCGACTTGAAATATTGCACATGTGTCAGGTTCTATGTTGTTTATGATGATGATGAGAACCTGATAAATATGTACATCAGTTGAAATTCCCATATCCCATTAGAAGAGAGGTGAAATTTCCAGGACAAATCCTAGAGTATCCGAAGTAGTAACAGTATTAGTGGTAATATGAAGGATTATGCATTGAAGATATGATTTGAAAAGAAAATATTGGTGCAAACGAGGTAACCGCTGGAAAAATTCATTTACAATCATACTTTATGATCCTTGATTGAGAAATCCCACACACTAATGGGGAATAATGATGAATGACCCGACACCATCGAAGCTAATCAGTTGGTTCTATTAGTCAGTAGATATCGTGCTAATGAGCATATGCCATATTAATCATATATGGATAGCCCATAAGTTCGAATCGACTAATTTGTGTTGTTTCCTTGTTGGTGAAGGTATTGACCTTGAATTACAAACATATTGGTCTAATGTATACCGAATATGATTATCAAGAGGCGTGTTAGTAGTAAATATTCTCTAAGTGCATAAAATTGAACTTATGCATCATTTTCCCTTGTCTAACACTGTTTGCCTTGTACTTTCAGTTACAGTTTGCTTTGTTACAATTACAGGAAAACAGAGAAAATACAATAACTGAGAATAAATCATGCATAACTTAAAACAATTACCTCTTCTGTAAGTGCATGGACTGCCTAGGGCCCCGTGAATTAGAGCAGGAAGAGGTCCTGGTTGACCATTTTGAAGATCATATACTCTGGCCGAATTGTTATTAGTTAATGAATAGGAGTCACTACCATGATGACTGACAGAAACAAAATACTGGGATCGCATAGTTTCATTGGGAGGATTTAACAAAGGATAATACCTATCTAACAGTGGTAGCTTCAAAGGAGTTTTGGTAAAACAGTGTAATCGGGATTCTTTTTCTGTAGTCATATTTTGGGATGATGTCAAATACTGATTGAACGTTTGGTGATGTTGGTTAGGTTCATTACAGTTACGTCGTGAAAAGCTTCCCCCCCCCTTGTCATCAATATGTCTGAAGGAAAGGAAGCACTCTGCTGCCAATTCCTATTAATCTTCTGTTGATCACCGTCTATATGAGATATCAAATCTATACGATCTGATAACTGTGACTGTGCACCAGCATTGACGGACATTACACCTAGATGCTGTGATCTAGAATAACTATAATTATTATTTGCTGCAGTTATAGGACGACTGAAAGTATCTAAAAAAATTCCACCATTTCTAAACGCAGGTCTATTATTTGAATACTGATTATTATATGTTTGATTGATTAGACAACAACGATGACAATAAGATATCACAACTCCAATGCCCAATATAAGAATAACAATTGTACTGACAGCTATAGCAATAGACGCCGGCATACCAAGTGACAATAAACCTGATAACCAGCTATTAACATCAATCAAATCATCATTAGCAAGTAGTGGACTGTTTGGATCTTCCATATCTTTATGTGGGATAGAAAACAAAACGTGAAAAAGATTTTTTCAACAAATAAATTGACAATGATTAACAGTCAGTCAGTAACAAAGTAGAACTTCGTACGTACGTGCATCAGTTCGAGTTGCCACACCACCTTAACACAGAGATGCAGTTGTCGATTCAAATCCCGTAGTGGTAGAGGTAGCAAGAGTATTAACAGAAAACCAAATGATTACATAGCGGATGCAATTTCGCCGTTCAACTACCTTATAATTTGACTGTTATCGTAGGAAACCTTTGAAATATTGTTTTATCTTGTCAATGGATTAAACGCTCGATCCACATGACATGAACTACGATATTACTTTAGTTTAAACACATTCAAACGGCGGTTAATCATATGCAACTTAAAACCTGGCACATATGTACATCGATTCAATTCAAATTACAGTAGATCACACAGATGAATTTCATCATTAAACATGAAGGACTGGTTGTTGTGTATTTCCTGTTGATTCTCTTAACAGTTGAATTGGAACAGGTTCAACAATAGTATTTATACAGAGAATGATAGACAGTCAACTTACACCAAATATAAAAGCGATTTTCCAAGATGAGAAGAATATAAATGTTTAAATATTGTACTGTATACCATATACAAAGCTATCAAGTGGTGATGTGAACTGTATACATTATTGGTTTCTTTCTTAGATAACAGGCACTGATCAATAGAACAGTAAAGTTACGTTTAAGTATTTTTCTTGTTTGTGAGTGAAAACAAAAAATGTTATTATGTAAACAGGTATAGTGTGATTATCGGCTAGTGAGTGAGTGATTATCTTTTTTTACATTAAGCTAACACTTGAGAAAATCAACATGGAAATATGTGATAACACCTATTAATAATTACATTTGTTTTCGAGGTTTTAGTAAAAGGAGAGCTGAATAACAACGTTAATAGAGGTTAGTTACCATCCAGTAAGCAAAAAAGACATCAATGAAGATTACCTATTAGTTAACATGGAAACTCGTAATTTCACTGAACATACCAATAAAAGCTTGACAATGAGAAATATCTTCATCTTTCCTATCTTCACAGTTCATAATACCATCGCATAAACTCTTCTTTGTAATACAATATCCCATATATTGTTTATCATGATTAGGTGGAAATCTGTCGTCATCTAAACTACGGATATATTGAGGAGGAGATAAGAATGATCCATACAACCGGCTATCTGCACTAAGTGAAGTTGATGTTATCATAGAATTTGCCCCCATGGAACGAGGAACTGCACTGCAGTAAAAGTTGCTTGATGGACAACTACTATTTCGAGCTGTTAAAATGAGAAAAAATAGTTTATAAAGCGGTGTAAATAAATATTATGAAAAATGCTTTGTTTCTTGAGATTTTAAACAGACCTTGTCAAAAAGGACGTTTAGGAATTCTTAAAGTATGGATAAAAAAATCAAATTCTGATGGTCAAGGACGACACGTTGAAAAATCCACTAATCATAAGTGACTTACTAACTCGATTTTTAATTATCCGTCTTGGCTTTGCTACAATGGTTTGTAGTTAGGGTAGGAAGTAAATTAGGATAAACCCAATTTGAATTGAGTTACTGTGAATCGGTGAGTTGAATATTATCAAGATTATCCAGTACGTGACGTTTTGGTTAAGCGGTTAATGCAACGGTTCCTGATAGTACAAATCCGAATATAACTTGAATTTGATATCACTTGCTAAGCTGCATACCGAAGAATCTTTTCGTCCTGCAGTAAGTTATATTTGTTAAATCGAACTACGCAAAAATGTGCTTCGCACTGAGTACAATAACAGAAATTCAAAACTAGTAATGCCTAAGGTAGTAAATATATCACGTTGCTGATGTTCGGCAGAATACTTACTTACTTACTTACTTACGCCTGTTACTCCTCGTGAAGGAGCATAGGCCGCTCACCAGCGTTCTCCATCCAACCCTGTCCTGGGCAATCCTTTCTAGCTCCGTCCAGTTGTAATTCATCGTTTTCATATCTGCTTCTATTATCCGACGCAATGTGTTCTTTGGCCTTCCTCTTTTTCGCTTCCCCTCAGGATTCCAAGTTAGGGCTTGCCTCGTGATGCAGTTCGACGATTTGCGTAATGTATGTCCTATCCATTTCCATCGTCTTTTCCTAATTTCTTCTTCAGCTGGAAGTTGGTTTGTTCTCTCCCACAGAAGGCTGTTGCTGATGGTATCCGGCCAATAGATGTTGAGTATCTTGCGAAGACAGCTATTTATAAATACTTGTACTTTCTTGATTGTGGTTGTTGTAGTTCTCCAAGTTTCAGCTCCATACAGTAGAACTGCCTTGACGTTCGTATTGAAGATCCTCACTTTGATATTGGTTGAAAGTTGTTTTGAGTTCCATATGTTCTTCAATTGTAGGAATGCGACCCTTGCTTTGCCGATCCTCGCCTTTACGTCTGCATCTGAGCCTCCTTGTTCATCGATGATGCTTCCCAGATATGTGAAGGATTCTACATCTTCCAGAGTTTCGCCATCAAGAGTGATTGGATTGCTGTTCTCCGCTTTGAATTTGAGGACCTTAGTTTTTCCTTTGTGTATGCTGAGGCCTACTGATGCAGAGACTGCTGCTACACTGGCTGTCTTCATCTGCATCTGTTCGTGTGTACGTGATAGGAGGGCTAGGTCATCTGCGAAGTCCAAATCGTCTAATTGATTCTGAGCTGTCCATTGTATTCCGTGTTTTCCTTCAGATGTCGAGGTCTTCATAATCCAGTCGACCACCAGAAGAAAGAGGAAGGGAGAGAGTAAACAACCTTGTCTGACTCCGGTCCTTACTTTGAATGCTTCTGTCAGCTGTCCTCCATGCACTACTTTGCACTGTAGTCCGTCGTATGAGTTCTGGATTATATTGACAATCTTCTCAGGAATTCCGTAGTGTCGAAGAAGTTTCCATAACGTCCTCCTGTCTACACTGTCGAATGCCTTTTCATAATCAATGAAGTTGATGTATAATGATGAGTTCCACTCAACTGATTGTTCGACGATGATCCGTAGTGTTGCAATTTGGTCTGTGCACGACCGATCCTTACGGAATCCAGCTTGTTGATCTCGAAGTTGAGCGTCTACTGCATCCTTCATCCGGTTCAGCAACACTCTGTTGAAGACTTTCCCTGGTATTGACAGTAGTGTTATGCCTCTGTAGTTTTCACATTTGCTCAGATCTCCTTTCTTTGGAATCTTGACGAGGTGTCCTTCTTTCCAGTCCATCGGCACTTGTTCCTCCTCCCAAATCTTTTTGAATAGAAGATAAAGCATGCTTGTGGTTGTTTCGATGTCTGATTTCAGTGCTTCAGCTGGTATGTTGTCGGGTCCTGCTGCTTTTCCGTTCTTGATTTGTCTGACGGCCATTCTAATTTCTTCCGTAGTTGGTGGATTGACATCTATAGGAAGATCTATGTGTGCTGCTTCGATGTCCACTGGATTCATTGGAGCCGGCCTATTCAGGAGCTCTTCGAAGTATTCTACCCATCTGTTACGTTGTTGTTGAATTTCGGTGATTGGCTTGCCTTCTTTGTCTTTGACCGGCCTCTCTGGTTTACTGTATTTCCCTGATAGTTTCCTCGTTGTATCGTAAAGCTGTTTCATGTTTCCTTCTCTAGCAGCTTTTTCTGCCGTCGTTGCTAGTTCTTCAACGTATTTCTTCTTGTCGGCTCTAATGCTCCTCTTCACTTGTTTGTTTGCTTCTATGTATTCAGCTTGTGCTTGGACTTTCTCTGCTCGTGTTCGGCTGTTGTTTATTGCTGCCTTCTTGTTCTTCCTTTCTTTGATCTTGTCCACTGTTTCTGTAGAGATCCATTCCTTATGATGGTATTTCTTTAGACCGAGAATCTCTTGACACGTTGAAGTTAATGCTTCCTTGATGCCTTTCCAGTTGTCCTCCATAGTAGTTTCTTCTTCTTTCAGTAGATCTCGTAAGGCTTGGAACCTGTTGTTGAGAGCTATCTTGAATTCATTGAGTTTGGTTCGGCAGAATACTACATTTGAAATTATATACGCTAGGTTATAACAGAAATTCTTCGGTAGTCCATTCGTAAAAAATGTATCACCTGATCCAAATTAGCACACTGTCAGTACAGGAAGAAATTACCAAGAATAAAGTCAAAAGATTTGAAATAATTATATCAATGGTTCTAAAAGAATAAACAAAAGGAAACGTGGAGCAAATAGGAAGCTATCATTTCGCAGTACTTTCTAGGTTGCGACATGTATCTAGGATGGGTTAATAAATTTCACTGAACTACATTTTTAATATCGCACTTGATGGTGTAACCAGACGAATGACCAAAACATCCTACATTTAAATGGGATTTATAAACTGGGAGTATATTCTCAGGCATTCAATGCAACTAGCGACTAAGTACGAAATTGTACTATTCGGAAAAAACATTGAATATTTCACATGCGAATAACCACTTCCATATTAACGCAGCAATTCTACACAGTCAGTCAGTCAGTCAGTAACAACGTAGAACTTCGTACGTACGTACATCAGTTCGAGTTGCCACACCACCTTAACACAGAGATGCAGTTGTCGATTCAAATCCCGTAGTGGTAGAGGTAGCAAGAGTATAAGCAGTAATCGGGAAGATTAGGGTTTGAAGATGTTATTTAAAGAGTATAATCCAGTGAAATAAATTTGGAAAGAGGAAGAAAGGGACATGAAGAATTCAGAAGATTAGAATTTGGGAGAACACAACTTTGTGTAAAGCGCATCAGTATTTGAGAGTTAAATTACCAGTCTTTGTTCTCACGTCAAATTATACAGGTGTTATCAGTTGACAACTAATTACAAGGGGAATGACATGGAGTAAAGTGTATCAAAGATGTATTAGTAAGTTATCTTAGTAGACTTACTTTCTTGAATTGCAGTAAGAATAACTCGAAATCCAGGTTTCACACCGGGTAAAATGGGAGGTCGTTGAGATGAGGTACTGAGAACAAGATAATGTGAATTATTTTAATATGTCAATGTAGACAAGTTAAATAAGGACACACCTGAGATAACATATTTGAGTAGAGTTGTGATGAGAAACAAAACCTTTATAACAAATAACCAAGTACTCGACCAATAAAAATATATGAACCGATTGAAAACCAGGTCTTTGTTACACTCAAATGTCTGAGAATAGTGTTTGGATCTACGGGTCAATTTTTATTTCGTTATATTTACAATTTTAAAAAAATCACCTCGCTTCACTCAGACAGATTGCATAAGAACGACGAACTGATAAACAATTGGACCATAGAGCTGTAGGTCAGTTGTTATAGGGTTAGCCTCAGTTAGTATATTGCAAGTTCAAAATCGCTTCGTCTACTTCAAATAAAAGGAGGGAAAGTAGTATAAATTTAGCTCAATAGACTAAGTATAATGGTACACATCTGGTAACTGAGTTAGTTTGTTATTTAATTGTTGCGACTGAGTTATCTTTGATGCCTACAGCCTGTGTCCTATGAAACCGATAGTGATTGAACAGTTTATATATATATATATATATATATACAACGACTTACTGGAAAGCTAAACATATGTAGGACTTTGTCGTAAATATAAGATACTTCGGATAATTCGGTCCACATGAACCACGTTCTCCACCAGCTTCTGTCTATAAAAGATAATATATCTAAAAAGCTTGTGGAACATAGATGTAGAATATTTGGATTTATTGATGCAATAAGTGCGAATTACACAAAACACAAGTTAACACACACAAGTCCTCGTAGTCTAAAAAATAAAACGATCAAGTTAAGCTTGATGATGAAAAAATTAAGACCCGATATAATTGTTGTTATGAAGAGTGGCTCATCGTAGATGTAAACTGTTCTCCAATTATTGCAGGGGTCAACTGTATTAGAAGTAACAGAGTTATAAATCGCAAGGGAGGAGACATAATATTACATGTGTGAGACCACTTTCGTATACAATCGAGGATATCAGAGACGCACGATAACGGTATACGTGAAGCAGATTGTTATACAATTAAATCTAGACACGGAGTAGTGACCACGTTATCTTGCCGAAGACTTTGTCTCAAGTCATATTTGTACGTGGAGTTAGGCTGATTGTTGTCTCATTTCTTATTAGCCTTAGGCCTAGTAAGTCACCCGATCCTGATGGGTTACACCTACGATCGCTGACAACCCTCTTAAACACTATTTGAGGACCACTCAGGAAACTATTTAACGAAATTTTTTCCTAAGTTCGACTCCCCAGGGATTGGAAGGATGCCATAGGTAGCCCTACACTAACGTATGGAGACATCTTTTCTAACTACGGACATGGCAGCTTAACCAGCATATTAGTTAAATTGTTTAAAAACATAATTCGGCCCAAGTTACTGAGTCACATAGAATCATACAATCTGTTCAATTATGAGCAACACGTGTTTTGGAATAAACATTCATGCTTAGTTAACTTACTAGTTGCGAGAGGGGATTGAACAGGATCCCAAGATAACGGTTTGTCTGTCGACGTGATATTTATAGCTTTTAGTAAAGCGTTTGATTAAGTGTCTTATGGCTTATGCACAAGCCGTACAGCTTTATAATAATAGCCGCCATACAATAGTGAATAAAAACTTTCCTCTATAGCTGGCATCAGAAGGTGAGGGTAAATAGGACATCTGAATGTAAACTGGTTAAAAGTGGCGTACTCCAAGGTATTATTTTAGGTCCCTTAAAATTTCTTCCCAACGTTAAAGAATTAACGTAATAAGTCGTCGAAACTTATTTGCAGATGACGTTTAAATGAGAACGATAATCTTGATCTTCAAGCTGACCTAGATGAATTAACTGGATGGTACCAAAGATGGGCTTTGAAAATTAATCGTAGAGTTTGCCAATGCACATTTAATATAGTAATAAATACCAGTATACTACCAATAGCATATCGCCTACTGGAACCCCTCACCTGAACCAGTTGTATCAGCCTTATCAGTCAACATCTTCAAGGAGAAGCTGGGTTATCACTAAAGAACAAGGTACACGGATCAACACAAATTCAATGACCTATTATTCTAACTGCTGAAGACTGAACACACCTTAGGCAAACGTTCTATGCATATTTGTAGGCAGTAACAGAAATCAGTTTACAAGACTTACCATAGCCTTGGACTTTGCTGTATTAGAATCGAATACATATAAGTAATTCTCAACACAATTGCGAGTCTTAGAGGGGACATAAAATTCCTCAATTTTCATCATAATTCTGGCATTCTCAATCGGTGAATGCACAACAAGCTCACACGAGAAGTTGCGTGGATAAGAAGTCGTGTTATGAGATAATACAACCATACTGCCTTCAAGATTGTCAACTTGCAGGAACTTTGTAACGGGATGCTGTAAGAAGAAATCTTGGTTAGGTAAGACACGGCAGTCACGAGAGAGAACATCTGAAAGTCAAAAGCAATAACAAAATGGAGAGCGTTTTTGAATGTGTATTCATGAATTTCACTTTTAAAGTTGATATAAAATGTCCCAAACAACCAATTAAGGGGAAATCAAGGCGAACAAATGGAAAATAAAGGGGAAATAATGGGGAAACGCTCAAAAATGCCTGCTTTTTCTAGCCTGCCCGGGGAAATAATGCAGGTCTTCCACTTTTTGTCTCTCTGTCTCTCAAACGTCGCCGAATTGTATACTTTTCGCCTAAATATAAAACCTACGGAGGTTGTATAAATTGGGCTTTTTATAGATTGAAAATGACGAAAACCTTGTGACTACGTGAATGAAAAAAATTTAAAATTTAAACGTCTTATCGAGATAGTAGTCAATGACAACTCACAAGTAATTTGGAGATGAACGAAACGAACAGCAGTCTGAACGAAAACTAAAATGTGTAACCTCATTTTTTGTTTTACCCGCCATTCATTATAAGTAAATACGCATATATATTTGACCAGTTATTACTTGATATCGTTTTAGAATTTATCGTAACAGTTAATAGACTGAAGAGTATTTTGCTTTTAGTAGTGAAGGTTGTCAAACGTCCCTGTATCTGGCCTGAGGTAGGCGGGTTTTCGATTTCCTTCGGCGTGAGTCATGGGCTTTCAAAATTTCAGAGGGAGAGGAGGTGGTTCACGTGGTTCCCAGGGTGGTTTTCGAAGAGGCTCCAGGGGAGGAGGATTTTCTGATAAGTTTCAAAGTGGTCCACCTGAAGAGGTTGTCGAAGTTGGAGTATTCGCTCATCCATGTCAAGAAGATATTGTCTGTAAAATCACATCGGAAAAAATACCTTACTCAAATGCTCCTGTTTATTTGGCGAACAAAGAAGAAATAGGCAAAGTCGATGAAGTTTTTGGCCCAATTAAAGATGCAGTAGTGTTTTTATTTTTTTTATCTAATCCATTTGACTAGTACTTTTCAATCAAACTTTCAGATACACTTAAAAGTAAATCTTTTCAAGAAGGCGTTAAGGTATTCATTATTATCCAGATCATATGATATTTTGTAGTTTTTTATGGATCCTGCCAAGTTTCTCACACTTGATCGCGTGATGAACCCAAATTCTAGTAGAGGTGAGTTGACTTTGTAAAATTTATTCTGTAGCTTTGTGTGTATCGCTAATCGTTCGCTTTAAGAGGCACAAATTTAGTTAAATCTTCAGTCATAAGCATAACAAGACTAAACTATCAGTGCGAAATGAGCGATTTTTCATTCAATTAACATACAGCTAACGTTAATGAATGGCATTATGTTAGTGAATTAGGATTTTCACCTTTCATAGACTAGCCAAAATACCATCTCAAAAATGACTTACAACTACGATTGTAGTCCTTAATGCCATATCTTAATTACAATGCCAAATCCCATACTTTGTGCTGTTACTGTTATAAACCGTGGTATTGACCAACCCCTTATTCTTCGTTCATTTGGATTTATATTTCTATCACTTGAAATCAGTCCTATAGTACCAAAAAATAATTTCGTTATTGAAATATGTCATTTTTTCGAGTCATAATGTTCGTAATGCAGTCAGTGGTCTTCAATTCCCGAGAGAGATCTTTCACATACTGTTTTGGTGTTGGTTCTGTGACCTTGAAACAATTAGTGATCAGGTTATTTAACTGTCAGTATTATATGTTGATATGCTTGTGACTGTGTTAACCTTACATAAATTAGCAAAACATTGTTCAAAATAACGGTATTGCAGTTTCAGATTGATTATGGCTTACTCGTAACCTAGTTGTTTCTTGCGTGCATAATACCCCACTATACTGTGGTTTTGTTTCTAGACTGAAAATTTAATCGCACATCATGAACTGTTTCCTAGGTTGAGTCAAATGATGTCTTTTTATTGTTTTGTTTATTTGAACACAAACATTGTTATAAGGGGGCATCAAATACGTATGCGCCACACATTAACAATGAGGCCAGTAACCGTTATCACTGATATTTGTAAGGGCTTTGATACTGCCCGAGGGCCTGTGATAAAAAGTATGTCGTATCATTATGATTTTGTTTGGTGTAAATAAACTGTATGGCTCACACATCTAGTTGTCACCTGTGCTCCTAAATGCCCTGGTACGGCCAAGAGTGGTGAGAGTCCGCTCTCCTACTCCAAGTACTCTCACATGGTCACGCGTATACAGCCTCTGCCAGGGAAGTCCTACTCACTGCCTTCTCGTGGCGGGGGTGTTGTTTTCGAAATTAAGGGGAAGAAAAGCTAATGTCCGGCGCTTTAACCAGGTTGGTGGACATGGAGAGTCCACCTAGGGGAGTTGGAAAACCCATGTTCCAAACCAATAGTGCACATGGGCTACAGTATCCTGAAGGAACAAATGGCTTATCAACCAACCGTTGATCACCGGCTACCATGAGACTGCATCTCCTTACGATGCTCCACTGCCTTGTGGGTTAGACCTTTAGGTCAAAGGCTCGGGGTGTGGCCCCCTAAGATAACCACCTGTTTCGGTCTGGGCACCCGGGCAGTATCACAGCCCTCACACATATCGAATGAGATTTGTGTGGCGCATATGTATTTGGTGCCTCCTTGTACCAATATCTATGTCTTAAAATAAAATGTCACCTGTAATTTCCCGTCTCTTTTGTGAGGACTTACAGGATCAGTGATGTCTCATAAGGTCTTCAGGATTACCATATTTTGTTCAAGTTAGTATAGTGTGAAAACGTCATCAAACCTGTACATTTCGTTTTCATTATCTCAAAGTGGATACTAAAGTCTATTTACTCGAATTCTGATAACTTGTATCACTACATTAAGTCAATGTCATTAAAATTATTACGGCAACACTTCAAAACTGTAAGCAAATAGGTCAGTTGATATTAAGTCGTTTTTGAATAGAACCGACTGGTGCCATTTTTTTTACATTGCGAGCATAGGCCATACTTGGTTAACTGTTTAATTACGGTTAATGAGAAGTTTACTGAATACTCCTGCTTCGGACTGGGTACCCGGGCCCACACAAAAATAGAATGATTTGTGTACCACATATGTATTCGGTGCCCCTTCGTACCAATATTTATGTGTTCAAATAAATAAATAAAATAAAGTGCTGAATAAAAGAATCCATTGTGTTCAGAACGGAGTCCTTTGTTTTCTCAGGTTTCCTGTCTCAATCCTTGTGTCATCTATCAGAATGTCAAGTTTATGTGTGTACAACCTATCGTAAACTTGTTGGTTTGACTGAACAATAAAAAAATTAGCTGATGTAAGGAGTGTGATGTATTCACCCCATACATTCCAAACAGTCTGGTCAAGACACTTTGTATGAAAACTAAAGAAAATCCTATTTTCGTCCTCAGACCTTTCTTAGATATTTTTAAAAGTACTTAAATACTGAATTCTTTGCACACCTTGTCACCTGAGGAACATTTATAAGTCCTTTTATCTACTAGTTTTAAATTCCTAACTTACGAAGTCATATAATCACCAAATTACTTTCTTAACAATAGGGAAAAGAGGTGGTCGTGGTGATCAAAGAGGTGGTCGGGGCGGACATGATTTTTCACGTGGTCGAGGAAGGGGGGATTCTCGGGGTGGTCGTGGCGATTTCCGAGGAGGACGTGGTGGTTCTCGTGGACGGTGGAGTGATGGAGGTGGTCACAGTAATCGAGGCGGATTTCGTGGTGGGAGGGAAATGAATGGTCAGCGTGGTGGTGAACGTCATTCATTCGGCGGAAAGCGAGGCGCAAATTTTTCTGCATCTAATACACCACAAAGTAAAAAATTCAAATCAGAAGACTAATTCACTGTTTTTGTATGATAAAACTTTTACCTGCACTGCTTTTCTTTTATTCCAAATCTCGTTCTTTTGCCACAGGTCACTTATTTAAGATCACTTTTTCCTCTTGCTGGGCTACTATTTCTCTATCCTTGAACTGGTCGGGATTTCTATGTTTATGGTTTTCAAAAAGCATTTCCTAAACCTCCAACCTAATTTCGTCAAGTTATTTATGGTAAAACCTAGTCATCCTACAATGAGTACATATTTACTGATTATCAAAATTGATTGTTGCAGACAAAGTTTGTTTGCTTGTTTATTAATTCTGTTTAAAGGTCCTGGAACGATGAAAAGGGTCCTATTCCTAGCCTATTTCCATAGTACCTCAACAAGCTGATTTTTTTTAACAGAAGTAGGTCAGTTCAACTTCATACGTAGGTTAATGTATCAGACAGATTGCTTTCTCTCCCAATTAACTCTTATTAATGCCAAGAAAATAATTATTAGTTAGTCGGAGGGTTTTTGTGTGTTGGCCTTGTGGTTAAAACGTGCAAGGTACGATTATTAAGTCTCAGTTTTCAGTCTCACTCCACCTTCGGTTTAGTTTCCTAATTCTATCACACTAAATTGTGGCTCTAAACCTGCAAACCGAACCTTTATTTGGTTAGTGAGTAACAATTTATCAGTTCGTGATAACTTCTGAGATGATTGTTCGGTGGTCGTCACTGTATAAATTATCATAGTAGTTATGTTCTCGGTATAAAAACCTCTTCCGGAAGTTACCTCAATTTAATGCATACGAATTCGTTCTCCATTTTCATGACCCCTAAGAGTGGTGTCTCTCATTCCAAGCTTAGCGATTAGTCTAGTGTTCCAGTTTGGCTGAGTTTAATAAATCGGAAATCAGCGATTTAGTTTATTGATAACATGGTTTTAATAGGCTTCGTAATTGGTATTACGTAACGTTCCTTTTGCTTTATTTTTGAAAACAAAATTTATATGCAGTAGAGAATTCGGCTTAACGCACTCAACTTATTTGCAAGTGGTAACCGAGGCAACCCGAAATATCAGATATGGTTTGTGATTGTTTATATTTTCATCTACATCGCCACGCCTCGAAAATGACAAAAGGTTATTCATTATTATTTATAAATGTCTACGAGAAATATCAATATTATTACAGTTCCACCAGGTAAAACCCTCTTACTATTTGGCCTACTTTCCTGCCCAAATTTTTATCCGTTTTCCACTATTTTGTCTTAATTCGTTCAACGTTAATAGGCAGAAACTCTAAATATTAAAGAATCAACAAAACGTTAAGAGCTCCTTTACATCATGTAACAATAATACTAACTTGCTATTATTACAGTAATGGGGTAATCAGCCATTCAGAAAATAGCCTTACAATAAATTACTGTATTATCAATAAATGGTCATTTTTGGTACAATTCAATTGCATTCACACTTCAGTTAAAGAGGAACAATTAATAACTTCTTGTCTAGATGTTATTTCCTAATTTACCTTAAATATATTGAGAATCGGGAGGTATTGAACAGATACTTCGCCCACACATAGGACTTCTCAACAGTATGCATTCACTCTCTTGCCGAAGATGAAACTTCTGGGATAATCTTAAGCCTTAAGTATTATTGCGTTGTTATCTAATGATTGTAGACCGACATCATCAAAATGTCGCCGGTTTCAACAAAACAGCTATCCATTGCTTATTGACGTCCAATGATTGTGTAGATGTAAACAGTCCTTCATATAAACTAAGGATTGGACAATTCTCAAACTTTTTATACCAGTAGTGTTCTTCGCTTTTTTAGTCTCGATCTGTTTAGGTTAAAAATGAAATGCCGATTACGGCAATGTAGTGTTTCTTGTTAGATTATGTTCCTGTTGTTCACGAGATATTAAGCATGTTACCAAGCTCAGTGATGCTCTTGTCATAATGCTTGCGTACCCTCCCAATCTGGTTTTATGCGCCATTCTCATAGGCTTTGTAAACCTATTAATAACCATTCGTTGCTCGCTTAGTGCAATCTTTTATGAATCGTGTCAGTTAGTCTAAGTTTTATCGTTTGGACTAGCTAGATTTAGATACAATGGTCATTAGTCTGTGTTCCAAGAATCAAAACCGAAGCTTGTTCACCACATGAACAAAACAGAGGAAATCCACCTGAAAATTTGTTTGACCTCAAGTCTATGTATAGCTACATTAGCTCTTGGTACCACGACGTTAGGAAATCGTCTTAATGTAAGAAAAAGTAAGTTCTGTGGTACTGTTCAGTAAATACATTGCAACTCAACGAATCCTATGAAGCTCAGTTAATCATTTTATAATAGTCTCACTTCTGTTTAGGGAGTTCTTTTTGTTAAGCTAGCTTATATTTCTCTCTTATTACATACTAGGATTTCTCTTTTTAATCTTAAAGGTCTATTCTACTGAGATTTCGAAAAACTATTTAGACATTCATTCTTGATCCTATTATGTTTGTTGAAATCCTTATTCAAGCTAAACTGTTGGAATGGTCCGATTACTTACTGTTTCTCTTAGTCTGTGAATATATTGAGTTAAATATTTAGCTGACGGCTAATTTCTCAGTAAGGTTTATTTTTACCAGTGGTTGGAAACATAGAAACACCAATCTTCGTATATTATTCATTTTACATGCGAGTGGCTACCTTACTTCGGAATCGGCATGCCTTCGCGGAATATCTTTGATCGTTCCATCACTAAGCGTAATAATTATTTTTATTGGGCTATAATAGATGTGTAGTTGAGAAAAATGTGTTAAAAATCAGTAATGTTTTGTTTTATTTGTGCTGTTTGTGTCAACGTAATGTATTTATGCCCCGAGCAATCGTTGTTCTTCGCTTGACATTGTCATCCTTTCTGTTTAGCATCGTCCCATGTATATTGGTGGAAATCAAAAATGTTTTGAATAGTCGAAATCCTTTTTAGCGGTTTTTAGAATCACTAATTATTCTGAAGTGTTTTATGAAAATTGTTTAAATATGTCTAAAGGTGTGTATAATCCGACTATAGCCCACGTAACCAACCATCATTTTAACAGCGTTTAGAAATCAGCGGACATTTGTCTTGATCTGAGATTCAGATGTATTTACATATATAACATGCAACGGTTCACTACTGATTTTTAGTCTAGAAATCTACTAATCCATTTAGAATATGATAAACTTCTTCAAATGTTATTGGTTAGTATTTCGAATTGCTAACAAACTGGTGAGTTCACTAGTACTTTAAAAACATTACTTCTCTGAGTTTAATCACTTCGTTTTAAGCGGTGATGCTGAAGTTTCTTTTCGTAAAAAATGTACTAACAGAATAATCGACTCCGGATACAACTTCTTTTTCTGCTGCTTACACTACATTTGTTGTCGGTTTAGTAATGTGTATATAGTTACCATTGAAGTCCAGCTGCCAATGCTAGTCCATATCCGTTATTCGAAACCGATCAATCTCTCGAGTTCCTTTGAATTTTATTTGGAAACTTTTAAATATATTTACAACATATTGCACTTAAATAAGACAAACAGAACGTTACAGCTACTATTGCCAGATAAGAATACACAATCTACGCACTGGCTTTTCAAAGCTCACTAACTGCTAAAGCTTCTATTTAACAAAAAAATCAGCCCCGGAAAATATTATTGGGTCAAAACAAGTAAAGTAGTCTGACAAGTGGATTGTATGTTCATGATCTCTTCCCAACAGTTACATGATTCTAGCTATTCATAAGGTGCACGTTTCTATGCTGGTTTGTTGAACGTTTCTTCATTGTCATAAAGTTTGGCAACTTTTGAATAAGTTGTACGGCTTACATTTTCAGTAAAGATATTCTGTCAACTATAAGCTATTCTCACTACCGATTCTCTCATCACGACTTCGTACACACTTTGTATGATGATGTTTAATCTGATTCTGTTCCAACGAGTGACTAATAAAATCAATGCGCGTCAAAAATTTATCGCATACTTTACATTATCCACGTTTACCATCTAGTTAGTTGAACAGAATCAGTGTGTACTTCTTTAGGTAGTGTAGTGGCTAAGAACTTACACCAATAGTCTCATCGTTATATAATGTCTCTGCGTACTCAATAGACTTAGTAGAAAACTTAAAATTAACAATTATTGATCTGCAAAAAATAGTCGTCAACCGAATAAGATTTCTATAGTGCGATAATTCATTTACTAGTTAAGAATTAGGTGAAGTTACGGAATATGAATAAATATTTAATGACAATTTACTCAATAATGAATTCATAACATTGGCCATAAATCTTTCATTGCCGACGAGCTTACACAATATGTTTTGCACAGCAGCATTCCAAACAATTAGATCATACATATGTGACTTGTTATATTCCTTTCCTGCGTTGGAGAATAAAATCAAAATAAGCCACGGTCCATCATATCTTCGAGGTCATCATAGATTTTTTCCATATGGGTTGAATATTTCACTTTATTAGTAAACACTTCAACAACAAATTCACGATGACAGAAAAAGTCCGAAAATTCTTTAAACTTGTCTTGTGATTGTTGACTAATATGGTGCTTAACGGCTTCTATTAACGTTTGGTTAGCCTCTTTCATTGTTTGTATCAATTTATCAATTGACGGTTCAACACCCGGCATTAGACGACGCTTGGGTCGACCTAAGCGCAATGCGATCTCAGCTATTTGATGACATTTCTCATGAAATTCATAAGCATGGTTCAACTGTTCGTCTGATAGTATGTCATTTGATATTAAAATTAAGGCTTTGACATTTAATTTAATTGCCTGCTTTGTTAGATAAGCAGCTAGTTTATTATTACCTGTATATTGTTTGATCAAACTAAATATATTTTCAAATAAACGAGCCGATGAATCATCAAGAAATAATTTAATAATCCCTTTTGGTAAACTTCCAACCAACTTTTTTTGAGCTCGTAAACTGATCGACTGTGGATCGAACCGTTCTGTTGAATCTTCTGGTGTCTGAGAATTTTGAGGAGCAATTGGTTTGTTAGTCATTCTTCAAGTGTAAAAGTCAGAGTTTGCAATTTATTTTGTATATCAGAATTTGTATAGAGGCATATCAGATTTTGAGCGATAGGGTGTGGTTTCCAACATATAAAATGGACCAATAAGGAGTGAGCATAGGATAATTAGCTGATTGGTTAACTCGACCAGGAGAAATACCCATTCGCAGAAACAACCAATTTAGGAACACTAGTTAGTACTTTTGAAAGGTAATGTGTATTATATTTTATCACTATGACCACCTAAGCACATCTAACTAGTTTATTGACTTCAATAATTTTCCACTGACGCAAATAAAACAATGTCCAAGCTTAATGAGACTGGTAACAATGGAAATTCTGAGCCTGTTTACTTCAGTTAACAATCATTTTACGAATTGTTATTCTGACCCAGGTCTATAATAATTGGTTATCCATAGGTATCCAGGTTTAGAGTATCCTTCTGTCTCGTTTGTTACTTCCAGCTCACTTGCGTCCGTCTTTGGGAACAGGTGTAAGAGTATCAATCAGTCTTTGATTATAGTTTTGTCTACTCTACTTTAAAAAGTATAGTACTACGGACAAATTTTATCTTTTACCTGGCATAAGTGGGTTCTCTTTCGTACCTACTTTACATATCCTAATCAATAAAATATACTCAAATCAAACTTATTCTGTATAGAATACAATTTCGACAATTGTAGGTTGAATCTAATCATACAAACGTTTCTTCAGAACTGTTGTACGATGTAGTTCATGATTTATCAATACACCTTGGATATTTCTTATAAAATCTTTACTCGAAAATAAATTATTTTATGTTTTTAACACTAAAATTTCCACCTATGTATTCGATAAGTTTCTTTAAAGTGTCCAGAACTAATAGACGATTTTCCATAAATTAGTTGCAAATCTGTTTAGATGAACTATTAGCTTACATATCTACACGACCAAGACCAAGAGTTACAGTAAACCTAGATAGAGATGTTTGTGACGGTAAATAATTCTCCGACATGAGAGGTTTTGTGAATCTTCAATATTGTTGCTTGAATAACGGGGCTACCTGTTTCTACCATCTAATTATTTCAACAAGTTATCTGCTTTTCATTTTGTTTTAACGACTCATTATGTCCATTAATCGCAGAACCTGGTTAAATGAGTTACAGGACGACTGCCTAGTATCACTACATTATTTCAATATCTATCGTCAGGATCGATCAAACAATAAAAAGAGGTGTGACGGCGGTGTAGCTACGTTTGTAAACGTGAACTAGTGTCGATCTACGTTTGCATGTTTCAACTTTTCAAATGACTTTGTCGACTGTCTAATTCTAAGATGTCATCCAAGACATCTGAA